ACTTTCTGCAGAAAGTATAAGAACCAGATTATTCAAATATTAATCTTTCCACCACCAGACTTTTTCACCCAAATTTTTCTGGAAATGACCCCAATTTTTACAAGACAAAATTTGAGTCACTTTTTACTCAAAAACATTTTTGTCCCTATCTTCCTATCTTCTGAAGGAAGTGCAGACTATAAACAGGACTATTTTGTGAATTTGTCATGAAAAGAAGAAACTTGAATAATGTTCAGTATAACCTAAAATAACAAATAAAAACGTTTTGTTCTTTTTTTTGATTGTTTAATACCAAGATGTACCAGGTATATATAAACTATAGTTTTTTTACAACACTTTTATGACCTTTACATCAACAATGCATTCCTCACATGCCTTGTAAATCATTAGGTCCGCCAAGGTGACCTAAACAAGATGTAAAAGACTTTGTCATTTGATAAAACTGTTCAAAGGTAACAAGATCAGCCAATCCTGAGAATGGTTACATATCATCAGGAATTTAAACGGAGATTGAAGTATACGAGCCAAGCCATGATGATAATACTTTATTTTCACTGATTTACTTAAACAGCAAAAATTTATTCTAAGTGATAAAGAAGTATTTTACATCTCATTTCTTTAGCTGAATAATGCCACATATCACTGCCCACAATTTTAAATTTGAATGCATTTTTAAACTTGCTTGCATGGAAATGCTGTTTACTATAGACTATAAACACCATGCAGTACACACTAGACATATGATTGAAATATATTGAATGAAAAATATCAGCAGATGCTACCAAAAGCCTACTACCGGGGTAGTTACACATTGTAATCCTCTGGGAAAAACGTACATTAAATTTTAGTCTGATAAAATAAACGCAAAACACATTTTTAAATTACCTAAAGCTGTCGTTCTCATTTTTATTACAATTTTAAATTCAGGAGAGAGAAATTGTTGTGAATTTTGCACGTTAGTATCATGAAATCTTATAGCAGTGGAACAAAATGTCAGCAATGGTTTACAGTAAACATAAGCTTTATTTCTCTGTCCCAAGTACTAAGGCTTTTTTTCATTTTTCTAAATTATGCTAAAGTAAAACCAAGTGAAAGTATTGTTTCCTAAAAAAGCCGGTGAATATCAAGACAACAACAAATCCACTAAAATTAACTTCTTTGAATATTTTACCATTTAAACTAGAATAAAGTTCATAATCATGAACCACTAATAACTAATCATGCATTAACTCGATCACAAGGCAATAATAAATTATTAATAAATTAGTATAAAATTATTAATTTATTAACTATAAGGACTTGCAACATCTCTAATACTCATCTCTCATCTAATAATCGACAATAAATCCTAAAGTGTATTAACCTGCCAGGGTCTGATTATTTCACTCATGTTGAAGTAAACTCACAAAAAAGTATCACTATCCATCCATAACTGTCAGTTCTAAATATAAAATTGTAATTATAGAGAAAACTAAATATCGTACAACAGCCGAGTTAACAGATGTTGGGGTGTGCCCACCACCATTGAAATATTCTGAGCTGTTTGGCCAGATGCACACCTCCTGGCTATGCAATGCAGTATTATTTATAGTAGTTGATAGTTTGCACACAGTAAGACTGAAATTCAACCACGGTCTAGTAAGCAATACCTCTGGTATAGACTACAGTGTAAATCATAAACACTGGCAATGGATGGTGTGTAATTGTTCTGTTTCCAAATAACACAAATCTTGAAGAATATCAATGTCAAGTTGAAATTGTTCTTACTCCAAGGCTTATTTTTTAAACCCAAGAGTAGTTCATTTCAAAACATTAGTGATTATCACATTGCTCTTGCAAGCAGGTGCTTGACAATATCCGATTTCCTTCCAGTTTTTTACAAAGGGTTTAACTTAAGGTGTTAAAAGTGGTAATAATCAAATGCAAATTGTGCATGAAGGCAAGGAACAGTCAAGTTTGTGTATTTGTCAAGATCGTTTTAAGAATGCTTGCAGACGCATTTAAATAAATAAAGAAACAATATTGGACAAATTTGCAATTCACTGAGCATGTTACTGAGCATATATGCAGTGTATTATGGGATAGAAATTCAAATTTTGCACTACTGAGCATATACATGTATGCAATGCATTATGGGATAGAAATTCAAATTTTGCACTACTGAGCATATATGCAGTATTACTATGGGATAGAAATTCAAATTTTGCATTACTGTGCATGTTACTGAGCATATTCAGTATATTATGGGACAGAATTTCAAATTTTGCACCACTGAATAAGTTTCTGAGCATATTCAGTATACTATAGGATAGAAATTCAAATTTTGCATTACTGAGCATATTCAGTATACTATAGGATAGAAATTCAAATTTTGCATTACTGAGCATATTCAGTATATTATGGGATAGAAATTCAAATTTTGCATTACTGAGCATATTCAGTATACTATAGGATAGAAATTCAAATTTTGCATTACTGAGCATATTCAGTATACTATAGGATAGAAATTCAAATTTTGCATTACTGAGCATATTCAGTATACTATAGGATAGAAATTCAAATTTTGCATTACTGAGCATATTCAGTATACTATAGGATAGAAATTCAAATTTTGCATTACTGAGCATATTCAGTATATTATGGGATAGAAATTCAAATTTTGCATTACTGAGCATATTCAGTATACTTATAGGGATAGAAATTCAAATTTTGCATTACTGAGCATATTCAGTATATTATGGGATAGAAATTCAAATTTTGCATTACTGAGCATATTCAGTATATTATGGGATAGAAATTCAAATTTTGCATTACTGAGCATATTCAGTATATTATGGGATAGAAATTCAAATTTTGCATTACTGAGCATATTCAGTATATTATGGGATAGAAATTCAAATTTTGCATTACTGAGCATATTCAGTATATTATGGGATAGAAATTCAAATTTTGCATTACTGAGCATATACATGTATGCAATGCATTATGGGATAGAAATTCAAATTTTGCACTATTGTATATGCAGTATACTATGGGATAGAAATTCAAATTTAGCATTACTGAGCATGTTACTGAGCATATACATGAATGCAATGCATTATGGGATAAAAATTAAAATTTTGCACCACCGAATATATTACTGAGCATATTCAGTATATTATGGGATAGAAATTCAAATTTTGCATTACTGAGCATGTTACTGAGCATATACATGTATGCAATGCATTATGGGATAGAAATTCAAATTTTGCACCACCGAATATATTACTGAGCATATTCAGTATATTATGGGATAGAAATTCAAATTTTGCATTACTGAGCATGTTACTGAGCATATACATGTATGCAATGCATTATGGGATAGAAATTCAAATTTTGCACCACCGAATATACTACTGAGCATATTCAGTATATTATGGGATAGAAATTCAAATTTTGCATTACTGAGCATGTTACTGAGCATATACATGTATGCAATGCATTGTGGGATAAAAATTCAAATTTTGCACCGCCGAATATGTTTCTGAGCATATTCAGTATATTATGGGATAAAAATTCAAATTTTGTATTTTACTGGGATAGAAATTGCCTGTGAATATTTTTGGAGAACCCAAAATGAATAGCACTATATGAACGACAGAAAATGAATTTGTTCTATTAATAATTTCATGCTTATAAAGTGAAAAGCAGAAAGACCGTGATTTGTCGAGGCGAGTCAGTGACCAATGTTTTGATGAAATGATAATTCATATATTCATTTAACAGAAAATGTTTAAATACTGTAAACCACTTAGTGAGAGAAAACAAATGAAGAGTCGAGGAAAATGCATGTAGCAAAATACTGTACCAGTGACAATTTCACTAAAATCCTTTAAAGTGCTCTATATCTTTAACATCTATCAGTGAAATACATGGATAAAGAGACATATTTTTTTTGTACTTTGATTTTGACTACAATGTATAAAGTAGTGATTTATAAGATGCATATACACCAGCATGCAACACGAGCAGGTCAAAGTTCATATCACACAATACTGTTTTGTGGTTCACTTTCGCACCATGAACAATGAAAGTACTGTGGCCAATATTATGCATAGTTTATCAGACATATTTCTGTCAGAACCTTGTCTGGATTACTGACACTTGAATAATACTTAAACCACTCTTTCTCCTGAAGTTGTTTTACTAGAGTATCAGTATTGTATACTTTAAGGTGGGAGGCATTGACTGGTGCTCGATATCACTTGACTATATCCTATCTTCAACCCATGGCCTGCTAAACAGACCGTTCGCTTGTTGTCGGTTATCATTTTGTCTGATTACAGCAACATAAATGTTTGGTCACATTCATACTTTAATTCTATTCCAGTTCTTGGTGCAACATTTTGCATTTTTTAAATATTTTTTCTATACATTTCTTTGTTAGTTTTCGACTAAAGAACATAATATCTCTTGATCCAAATTGTTTGACAAAAAAATAAAAATTATACTGATTTATTTTAGGAAAAGTTTTGAAAGTTGATTTTGATGTTCAATGGGGTTTATTGTGTACAGTCAGGACTAGCTAACAGTATTTTAAAACATGATATAGTAACAATATACTTAGACTGACTAATATTGTACTAAATAACTATCTAAGAACTGAAAAAATAAATGTCCAAAATTTCAACCTATCAAGATACCTGCAAATAATCTATTATGCAGACTTCTTCTATAACTACTTTTATAGTGTTATCAACAACTTAATCAAGGCTTTGCGTATATTCATGACCAGTACCCGTATACAGATTATTTAGTTATTACAGTACAACAACTAAGATGTGAAAAATGGCAGTTTTGATAACTTACTCAGACACAAATTTAAACCAATGCAGAAGCTTGCGAATGATCCACCAGTATATACAAGATATTTTTCTATCACAATAACTTGATCAAAACTAAACCTGGAGAAAGATCTTTGATCAAATAGATTTCAATATACATGTACCATATTTACTTACTTGCAAACTGCAATTCCATTTTTTAATGATTTCTGAAGATGTTCAGAACCCAGCTCTTGATCTGACAGCTGGTTCCCTGTGCATCCTTCAATCCAGTTACGACATTCTTTTTCTCTTTCAATGTCATATTTAGCTTTTTGCTGTTGAATAAAGAAAAATTATTTATTTATTGCTCCAACACTAATTTAGAGAGTACAGCAAGGTCACTAAAACTACAAAATAATAATAGACTGAATATAATGAAAAACAAAAAATAGTTAACAGGCACCAAATTACAAAGTTATATTAATTTACAAATTACAAAATTCACAAACTTTATATCATATGAATGTGCATTACAAAACACGTATGAAATTATGCTCCTCCTGAAAGGTGTTGGGTTTTTTTATTTTTAGGTGATGTTTTATTAATGAAGATAGTATTGGTAATGGAATAATTTTGCAGAGAAAAATGAAAAAATATACATTTTTTGGAATCATCAGGTCCAGTATTTCCAGAAGTATTGACCTTTGACACGCACTAACTTGACACACAGGGGATTGAAGAATAAAGATTACTGAGTAACCTTGTCAAAACTCAACATCAGTACATTTTGCTCATTCACCTAAAGGGTCACTGTTCTAACAGTACACCATAGGTTAGGCAACATTATTTGGTGTACTACACAAAGAATAAATAAAAGGTTCTAACCTCAGCTATAAATCTTATTTGTAGATTATATTAACACAAATTTAAAATCAGATGTACACAAACTATTATCTTTCCCAACAACTATTTTGGTTCAACAATGTGTACAATTGTATGGACCAAATAAACTAAATTTATATTTATTTAAACATTAGAAAATTACCCAGGGGAATTAAAAAGACAAAATACCTGATGAAATACTAGCACATCATAAAAAAGAAGAAAAACTACGACTACAATGCAGTGAAATACAGCCCACACATATTAGCCTAAAACTAAAACACCTTTAAAAAAATTTATTTAAACTCTGTGGTAAGAAAACAAAATGATTATACTATGCCAACAAGAGGTCTTATGCTCATGACTAGAGTGGGCAAAATACCTTTATGAAAAAGGTAACAAAAGAAAACTTTGGCATTTCAAAAGATAATCATAGTTTTTTATGATTTGCAGGTGTTAAAAAAATATTTCCTAGTTTCCATAGCAACAGCCACAAGGCCATAAAAGAATGGACACAATTTTATGACATGTGTTACAATGTACAGTATCGATAACGAATTACCCATACATATCTAAAAACAAACATGGTAGTTCTACCCTACTCTGGTTTAAAGTGACCTTGATGACATCACAACTGTCAGAGCCAATCATGAACTACGAGTCTATCCACTATAATTTCTTTACTAAAAAAATACATCACTATGTGTCAGCACTAGCACTTGCAACTTGCACATAAAAAAAAAAGTCAGGAGAGACAACAGTAACATTCAATTTCCAGAACAGTCACCTGGCACAAAAAAAAAAATTTGCACTACTGAGCATTACAACTGCATATTTGAGCAATGCATTATGGGAGAAAACTTCCCATAACTATTATCAACTGGAAAGTCACTGAATTAAATGTTTTAACAACATTAGGATTCATATCAATAATATTATACAACTATGATTCCACGACACATAGCCAACAACTGATACAAGGAATAATTTCACAATAGTAACCAGTGAAAAGGGGCCAACAATTTTATCCTGTGATCATATTATAAAAGCATAAAAAAAATGTCCTACAATCTTTAATTTTAATGAACCTTAATCGACCAAACATATTAGAAAAAAGAAAAGTATTAAATTTATTAACAGTTTAATTTTAATGGTGAAAATATGGTACCTCCTTAATCCTCATATACATATACAGCAATGATAACACTGATAATATATTTGGCATTTGTAATATATATATAAATTAATTTTGAATTGTTGAAAAAAGTTTGATCACATACTCAAATCAACAGGTGTCATGATTAAATTCTTTTTTTTCATGTTTCCCCTAAATATGTTATGTTCAGAATGATTGTACAACATAGCACTATTACACTATGGGGGGGGGGGGGGTAATCAGCAAGATGGGAACAGTGGAGTTCTGAATGGCATGTGTATATCGGTCAAGAAGTTGTATTCGATCTTGAATGGATTAAGCAGCTTGGTAACTTGCTCTATTAAAATATGATATACACCACATGCATACTCAGTGATTCAGAAGTCGATCCAAAGCTGCTTACAAGATTATGCCTAAGTGGCTACCAAACACAATTAACAGGCAGACCAATCAGAGATCACCTTATTTGTGGATAGTTTTTTTTATCTATCTGGCTTGTATATATGCTTTGACTCGGCTGCGATTCAGATCCTCACCAGTCATCAGCAATTTCATCAACTTTCTTGTACTTCTCAAAATGTCTTAATTTTGTTCAATCATTTGAGACAAAGGTTTTAAGCGTTTTCTGTTAAATTTACTGTTTTAAACTCAAAATATGGCAAATAATTTGAAATTCCCATGACACTACCGGTAGTTGCCATTTTGGGTAAAATGTTCTAAGCTAATTTGAGACAACTGAATCACAACTTGTAAAATACATGACAGCATAAATTAATTACCAATAAATCGTATCATGATAACTACACAAGAATGATTATCCAAGTTAATTAGAGATATGATCATTATTCATTGTCTACATTATGAAAATTATCTACTCATTTTGGCATTAATTAAATTGTGAGACACCATGTGTTACTATAGTAGGACAATAAATTGTATTGGGGGTTGGACCATTAGAAACTTGTTTTTTTTTAACGATGAACCCACTGTAAAAAATTTTATTTCCCTGTGTCCAGTGCAGAACTGTTTTTTTCTGTTATTTTGATACCTACAGGATGTTTTTCATGATTTACCTGTGTACATTTTTTTAAATCTGTGCCCCCAAGTTTTGAATGGTCTACTCCTTACAACCGGATGCAGCACAGGGTTATCAGATTAGTATGAGAACAAACACAAATGTCACTGGTCATTGTACACACATCAGTTAAGAATTTGCATGTCACAACATTTTCTTATGAATTGTTTTTAAAAAAAAAATTCAGAAAAAATAACACAGGTTTTAATGACAATTTTAAAATAAAAAATATTTGGGGAGAAATGACTTACCAGATCATTCTTTTTAGTCTACACAACTAACCCTTTCCTTTCAATTTTTAAATATTTGTCAATTCAAACTGAAACATCAGTGTGCACTGCACTAGTTAATTGGCTGGTTGGATTCAACTGCCATTGAAATTTATCAAAGGAATGGGTTTGTTGTGTCGAAAGTAGAAGTCCGATCACAAATAAATTAGCAATTGTCAATGTAGTATTTACTGATGTAGTTATTCAGACCAAATTTCTTCCCACCTCTACATACCGCAGACAGCTATAACTGAATGACTTGTGGTTTTAACCAAACAATACAGAACTATAATATTGAAAGTTTACTTTTTTTTTCAAAACTATTGGTAATTAGTTTTGAGGCTGTTCAGAGAGAGATGTTTAACTCCACTATCAATTACAATGCTTTAGACTTAATAGAGATCAGTGGTAGACAGGTTTGGAATTTGCCAGTGAACCACACAGTGTCACACAATCTATTCACACATTGTCCTTACTACACACTGTCTTTATTATCTTCATCATTAAGTGATATAGTATTTGACAATGTAAATGGAAGTACAACAGACCAAGGAACATACTTTCCATTTAGAGGTCATCAAACTATTGAGGTGGTACTTACTGGAAGACTCAATGGGCCTTTCATCCATTGGTTCAACACTACACTTAAAGAAAACTACTTTTTTTTTGTATCGTTTAACACAAGACAAACCATTGGCAATGGTTGTCAAATGCAGGATGTGCAATACAATGAAAATGAATAGTTCAGTTGGTTGAAAAGACATTGATGCAATTAAAGTTTGTGAGTAAAGTACAAGCTACAAAAAAACACCCTACAAACAATATTTAATTTATTCATAATTATTTAACCATTTTGATGAGCTATAGATGCAATTTAAAATGTTGCAGGCAGTGGTGTGACAAATATAAATATTGACACACAAGGTGAATACTTCAAGTTGATGGTAGTCATGGTATGTAGTCAATTTATTAATTCAAATTGATTAACTTATATTTGATCAGCAGAACCCCCCCCCCCTCCCAAAAAACTGTGTACACATAACATACATTCAGTTTGTATTCATCAGATGTTGTTCTTCTCCAAGCGAATATGGGAAGAAAATGCTATTCATTGATGACAAGTCAGTTGCATGGCTATACAAAGTTAGTGGGGCATGGCGAATTACTTAACACGGGAGAGGTCAGGCTAACATTCAGGGGTGTGCATCTCGAATCACATCGCCAAACGACAAAAGCGATTATGCAAGGTGCGGCCGGGATGGAATTTACACTGTCGAGTATTTTTTAGAAGTACCGTAGTTGTTTTTTCAAGTAGTTCCAAGGCTCCCCCGCAAATTAAGCATCTGATAAGTCTCAATAGGCATAAACGCATTAATCAACAAGAATACGTCGGGCAAGTCCAGACACCCGCCCTGCGACTGGCGCTGCGACCCGCCCTCTTGTTATTGTTACGAACGACATAGATCTATTGAGCAAACCGTTGAAATTATCCACCATAAATAGCAGAAAGGAATAAAAATCAACGTAGTCTATGTCACCGCAAATAACAACGATCAATTCAACCTTTTTCCGCCACAAAAACAGCGCCCGTTAAACAACGTAATTTCTATCAATGAACACTATTCAAATTGATAACTGTTGAAGGTCCTAATTTGGATATTCTACGATTTCCCGTCTACTAAAAAATACCATATGCACCTGATCAGTTTGGCAAAAGATTGCAACTTACACTGACAACGATACATTGTGTACACGTTACGTAAAGCATAGAGATAACCAAACCAGGCAAGGAATCCCTGTAGTCAAAGTCTACCTGGTTACCTGCTAACTCACGAACAGTCCTGACAAGCATGACCAAACTTTTTCTGAAGACAAGTTTCATTAAATATGAAACTTATCAAGTTGTATACGTTTCCGACTTACCTTAGCTTTCAGCTCAGCTGACAGACCAAAACTACGTCCCCTATTTGCCATTTTAATAAAATATACCGTTATTAGGAGGTAATAAAGCGTGGAATAAGTGGTCAGTACTGACGAAGCAATCTGAAGCCGTCCGATTATATCGCTGCAAGAGTTATGAATATTCATGACTTTGTTTACGTCACATGATGAGTAAGGAAGTAGGTATGTACTTCCTGTACTGAGGGCGCTATTCAAGCATAATTCTATTATGATTGGGTTTCGTAAAGTTACTACATTTGTAGTACTTCGCATGAAGGTAAAAAGAGACCATCCATGTACTTCGGAAGGTATAACAACTTCTCAACCAAACAATTTGATGCACACCAGTCAAAACCTTGAGAAATTGAAAGAAACTATACATATTCCAATACCTGAATACCAAGGCCAATTTGAAAGTGATTCAACGAAACGGCTTTATACGTCCGATATCCGTTCAACAGTTTACGCCGTTACGGGAAACATGTGCGACAACCACATGTGAATATTCCGTATTTATTTATTTCGCCATCGCCCACACGATTTCCCATATGAATAGCCTACTGTATTGAAGTTGTTTGGGGAATTTTTTTTGGATGCATCACGCGTGTTGAACTTGAATGCACTCTTTCCTTGTTGGGAACTTGAACCCGCCTATTGGACAGATAGACACCATTTTAGACGTACATTGTAATTGTTGTGTGACGAGCGGGGTTGTTGATTATTTGATGCATTTTTATATTGTATGAATGAAGACGCTGTAACTTAACTACGGTCGAATCCAATGTTTCATTGTACATTTACAAATGAAGTAATGGTTACGTGATATGTTACTATAATTATCAGCCAATTTTGAACAATTTCTGTCCACCATGAAGGTGTCTCCTTTCATTTTTTCCACTGACTAGTCTTCTGCATTTCGTTATAGCCACGTTCAGGAGAGCGTCCACCTTTACGATACGAGAAAACTGTTGACATCGAACCGCATACAGTATCCTGCATAGTGCTACTTGGTGGCGCACTACTTTTCTGGGCAGGTTGTCATCATTCATGACGTCAGTGACCATTTAGTCAGTCTGACCTAATCTCAACAAGCCCGGCCATGATGTTTATACATCACAATCCGAGAACTGTGATGTATGAGTGACAGACATGTGCAGTCCACAGTAACAAAGCAGAGTACCTTGTTTATTTTATAAGAACCAAAGCACACAACAAACGCTGTCTGCTCAAAAGTTGGGGTGTATTTTTAAGTAAACACTCCTCTCTATTCTGCCGAGGTTTTATTTTATGCTGAAATGTACTTGAAGTGCATATTCACGGAGCATATATCGCGCCACATGGTCGGGAACACGTGATAAACTGCCCAACTCGATGAAATCATAAAAGTATTTCCAATCTTGCAAGAGAAACGATTATACTCAGTGTGGGACTGTATGTGAGTTTATTATCTGACCACACACAAAAGTTAAATGATAACGGAATCTTAAATTTGAACGTTATCTCCGGAATTCCTTTCTCATGACCCTGTATAATTATATATTCGTCGTAAATGATAAACATGAAAAATGCTTTATTCCAACCGTTCAAAAAAATTACATTTCTTATTTTTCTATATCAGAAGTATGTGTTTCAATTATTTTATAGAGCGTGGATGCACAAGGGCTAAACACGAACGAATTTGTATTGTTTTGACGAAGTAAATCAGAGCTACTATAATTGGGAGCGTTATACAGAAAGCTACATCCAAACATTCCCTTATAGACTACGAACGCTAATTGTTGCAGCACAGTACAATTAGCGGTGCCAAATTAAGGCGCGGTGCAAACCCGACTACTCCCACTTTTAAATTTCCCAATTCAATCATTGTATTTGCTTTCAGATTCCACTCTTTTCAACTACTCACAATGACATCTTTCAGCGATGGGGTCCAGTTTTGTCAGCGGTGATTGGAAGTACGGGTCATCGCTCCTTTGGCCTCTAGTACCCTTATGAACTGGGCGTTGTACTTTTCCCATTGGAATCATCGCCATACAATTTGAATAACTAGTAGACAGTCCACACCAGTTTATATTATTTGTATATACTGGTATAGTCGAAAACAGTATAATAAATTAAAAATTAACGCTCGGATGACTAATTATTCAAAGTGTGGATATACAACACAAAATTAAAACGGTGGTGACAATCAATATCAATTAGCCGCACGGTAGAAAGGGTAAGTTTCATGGTACGGGAAACGCCCATATATGCAGTGACCCCCAACTGTTGGACTCGAATACGCGTTATTATGCATTCATCAAACTCCCGGTACCATACCTTAGCTTTCAGCTCTGCTGTCAGTCCGTAACCGGTAGGTCTGCTTGCCATGTTGATTGGTGACTTTGGTACTGGCTTCAAAATTAGACGTAAAAAACAACCAGTCGTCAGTAGCTTAACAGACACAGCAAGTGAGAGAAAACTACCTAGTTTGGTTATCGTTGTGTTGATGACGACACAGACTTCATACAAAAATAGACATTGTTAACTTGCGCATATTTATGAGCTAGGTCACGGGGTCAACGCGGTTTATTTACATTTTGCCTTCAGATCATGTTTTCGACTACAAACCACGTGGTTCTACGATCATCAGCGTAATAGCACAGTAGCAGATGCGATGGATATCAACCACGCGGTGTTGATAAATCAGATAAATAATAGATCTCCGCTCAATAATTCAGTAACTCTGAGATTTATTAGTGATAGAACGATACTAAATAAATCCAGTTCTAGATTGAAATCAGAATGAGTTACGTGTTCATTTACAAAGGTTACGTACATGGCCCTAAAGGTCACAAATCCTTGCACTTTATGGGATAGTAATTTACTATATTTTACTTCAAATTTTATTTTACTAAATAAAACATTTTTTTAAAAAACAACTGCATGTATTCTGACTGGAAAAATAATTGAACAATTCTCCTCATTAATGATGAATTTGTGCCCCCACAAAGTACCAGGATGTGTGACCTTTTAGGGTCAGGTATAAAGTATATTGAACCTATTCGAATCTGATATAAAATATTCAGCGCTATCATTTGCTACACCCTTCTTATATTGCGCTGAAATCTGGTCAGGTGACATCATCATCATCAAACACGTGACACACACACAGGACGCCTGGAATACTATCGATATCTACGAAGTCAAAGGGGTCAAATATATATTTTCATCATGCGGGTAGCTGTAAGAGTGTGACCGATGCATTTTTTTCTGTACATCTTTTATTTTTCCTACAACACATTTCATGCATTTTTTGTTGATCTCGATATCTATCTTGC